GTCATTATTGATACATTCAGATGAACACTGCAAAGCTCTGATGAAGATTTTGAATGAGGCACATGTTCTTAACAAGATCACAACTTGCTAAAAGGATCTTCGAAGCAAATAGGATCACTTTCTAATATGATGAACTTCTTATGGAGGGTACTGAACATAACCGAGCTCTTTATCTCACGGTGAAGTGCGAGGATTCTGTTGTCTTGAGGGTACAGTTGATAACGGCTCTAGTGAAAATATTTGCCCTTTGTCTACTCTACAAAAGTTGAAGATTGGCACTGAAAGAATCCACATGATCAATGTATATGTTCGAGACTTTGATGGGGAAGGTAAATATTCTGTTAGTGATATAATGCTCGGATTATCGATAAGGCCAGTTGAGTTCACTATGGAGTTTCAAGTGTTAGATGTGGCCGTCTCCTACAATCTGTTGTTGGGAAGGCCTTGGATACATGTGGCTAAGGCAGTCCCGTCTTCTCTGTATCAAATGGTAAAGTTCGAATGGGACAGGTAGAAAATAGTTGTGCATGGTGATGAGGACATATCTGCTTATAATGACACATCGATTCCATTTATTGAATTTGAAGATGATAACGGGCCTTGGGTCTACCAACTTTCGAAATAGTGTCTGTTGAGAAGATTCATGAGGGAGAACGCATTCAAGGTCCGAAGCTATCCTCCGCGTCCGTCATGGTAGCAAATAAAATGTTGAAGAATGGTTTTGTGTCGGGTAAAGGTCTGGGTTAATCTCTATAGGGTATTGTGCATCCGATGCGCCCACGGGAAAATTTAGGTACATTTGGGTTGGGATTCACACCCACAAAGAAGGACGTGAAAAGGGTTAAAAAGCAAAAACATAATGCATGGTCGCTTCCCAAGCCTGTTCCACACATCTCCAAGTCTTTTGTCAAGCCAGGGGCCGCAAAACATCTAATATCATCAGTCCCGAAACCTGTAGTCGATGTTGATGAAGATCTGATCAAGGTGTTCCAAAGTCTGATTGATGAGGTTAATATGGTTGAAATTGGGGAAGGTTCCAATAACGCAGATATGCAGCTTGTTGGGCCAAATGTGAAGCTCAGCAATTGGGAAGCCACTCCTCTCCCTACCCGGAAGTAGTTTTGGTAGTTTACTTTGTTTTCCTTTCTGTTATCTGGGTTATTCCAGGGTTGTAATCTAGATTTTTATTTTTGCTTGTTTTGATGTTCAAACCCTTATATACTTTTATTTTTAATGAAATGCAATTTCCCGTTTTCCATTATTCCTAATAGTGTTTTATTTTATTTTTATTTTGTACAGTTCTTTTTATGCTGGTTCTAATGACATGACATGCATGAGAAATTTTTAGCCAAGTCTTAAAATTCAATCTAATTCTGAAATAATAATCCAAGAAGTAGAGTATGATGAAGAAGCAGACTATGATGAAGAAGCAGATTTGAGGAAATAAGTAAAGAACTAAAACATTTTGAAGAAAAACCAAACCGTAATTTGAATGAAATTGAAGCAATCAATTTAGGAGATCAAGATAATGTTAGGGAGACTAAGATAAGAGTGCATCTGGAACCTCATGTCAAGGAAGAAATCATCAAAATATTGTTTAAGTACAAAGATGTATTTGCATGGTCGTATGGCGATATCTCGGGCTTAAGTACTGATTTGGTAGTTCATAAACTGCCAACTGATCCTACATTCCCTCCCGTCAAGCAAAAGTTAAGAAAGTTCAAGAGTGACATGGGTGTGAAGATTAAAGAAGAAATCACAAAGCAACTTGGGGCAAAGGTCATACGGGTCACTCAATATCCCACTTGGTTAGCTAATGTTGTGCCAGTACCAGAGAAGGATGGTAAGACTAGGGTATGTGTTGATTATCGTGATCTAGGAATTTCTCCAAGGGTGTTCAAATTGAAAGACGTGAAAAAAATTTCCGACAAAGGACGTTCAATATGTGTTATATATCTCTAAACTATAATATTTTGCCTATATACACAGTGTAATTTTTTGATGATGGATAGTCAATTCATGACCATGTGGCGTCGCCCCTGATCACCATGCGTATAATTGGTTTTTGGTAAATTGGGTCATATATGAATTCGTTTCCCCCTTTTTTTTGAAAAAAGTATTGTTTAATCCAACACACTCAGGAGGAAATTAGAAAGAGAATAACATGGAAAGATTACTATTTAAATGAAAGTTTTGTCTAATATTTGATGTTCGGATTATTGAAATCATTAGTTGTCTGTGCCAATTGTAGAAAGGCGAGAGATTTTGGATATAGATGGTGGCAGTTGTAAAATAAAGTCTAAAACCAATCGGGAATTTACTGTATCGAACGAGCCAGTTTTGAATATAAATTAAGAAATTAGACAAAACCTATTCGAACAAGAAAATAGAAATAGCTGGGTACTAAAGCAGTAGTTTATGCCGTTTGTAAACTTTTGATTCCTTTTGCCACGGGTAAATTAACGCTTTTTCTTAATTTAAATTTAAAAATACTCACTATCTTAAATGTGACAAAAACTCTGCTACTTGGAAATGACCTTAGGCGAGCACATCTCCAAAATGCAATAGAGGCCACCAACCTAGACGATCCCATTTATCCTTTACATGTACAGATAAATTAGTACTTTTAGTATAGCTAATACACCTCAATTGATCAAATTAGTAGACGGAACTCGGTGTACGGAATGAGCTAAACTATGTAGAAGCTGGTTTATTAACAACCATTAAAAATAAACAAAATGGTTAATTAAGTAGTTGATTAAAAGAAATCAAAGGGCGGCGGCCATTTGTCATCCAAATCAGATATACACCACATAAAACGTGCTTGTGCTTATCCACATTCCACGCCCTATTATTCATGTCGTTCTCTCCTTCTCAACACATGTCACCTGTCGCTAACAACAGTTTAATTAGAAGCTAGTTATATTAATACTTGGCAGTTGTAGATAATTATATTCTCTTTTTCCTTTTTTATTTTTGGGTTTTAGTGGGTATGATTTGTATTGATGTACAACCACATAATTATCAAGATTAAAAAAGTTCAAAAATCAATGAAGTAATTTTACTATAATCGACTGTATTTGTTATTTAACTCCATAAATTATAATTGTAGAATGCTCAAAACAAATCATTTTATGAGTATTTTCATTGTTTGAAAAGTTAAAGTTCATATATTTTTTAGTTCAAAGATTTCATTATTCCAATTTGGAAAAGAAAATTCGTATTTATAAATGTGATGTGAACAAAGATGAAGTAGTTGTTGGTACAATTTGAGTTGGTGACAAACCAGTCCAAGAAGGCACATGTGTGGTGCGGTAAATATTAACTTGCACAAGGTGTTTACCCCAATCCAGCAAATACATGTCATATGTTTTTATAAATATTATTATCACAAAATAATAGTAATTAAATATTAATATATATTTTCATCTTAATTCATCACTTAATTGTATTGGTCCAAATTTTGTTACCACGACGACGGGTAAGTGAGGCTAGAGAACGGAGTCGTTACACTATGACGACTGGCGGAGTTGTGGTAGAGGATGACGATCACAGACGAGCAGCCGAAGTAAAGTAGGGTCGGTAGTGTCAACTCCGAAAGAGGCATAAAGAATATACTTTTGAAATATTCTTTGGTGTACTTTTTAGAGTTTTTGGGAAATGTCCCTTATAAATAAGAGGAGATAGTAAACAAGGGGGGTTTGCCCTTTTTGAGAACAAAAAGAGATTGTAAGATTGAAAAGAAAGAAGATACGAGAAAGTTGTCTCATTCATTTCATCAATATACATTTTGTTCATAATTTAACTATAATCTTAAGGTCCCACGGAGATATCAACTGCTTTTCATTCTATATCGGCAAAGAAAGGAAACACCCAATCATATAATCGTTGGGTGACTATTCTTTTTATGTTACATTCCTTGTTATTCCTTATATTTATACACTCTTATGATATTGCACATCTTGTCAATCATAGCATATTAAGTCCTATTTAATGCTTGCAAATTAACCCCTCATCGTATAAGAGTTTTGCTCCATTTGATCTAGAGATTATTAATTTTAATTGAGATTCATCCTGCTAATTTATTACTAATTAGTTTAGCATTTATTTGCTCAAATAATTTGGCACCGTTTGTGGGGAGTTTTTCAGTTGAGACTATAGTTCTTTCTAGATCATTAAAAAAACACCTCTTCTTCGTTTGCACCAACTAACAATGGTCGGGAAAGGAGTTGCGAGGTTGAAAACGATAGCAGGTGTCACTGCCAACATCTTGAACACTATCAATGAAGATGACAGGGAAGACAATGAAAACGTGACGCCAAGTGTTATGCCTAGGCGAAATGCTTCACCTCCCCCCTGCGAAAGCGTTACTGCTTCGCTCGAAAAGGAAACTTCCACGTCAATAACGGAAGAAGTGCCACCGGTGGTAAAAATGCTACTAGAAGAATGGCTAACAAGCACTCTGAACAACATACTTGATAAACCCACCCAAAGGGAGAACAAAGACGCTGCGCACGTAGAAATTACGACAGCCACTGACGAGCAAGATGCCCCCCGAACTGGTAACACTCATATTATTGTTGATGTAGGTAGTGGCGCACTCACAACCATTTTAAAGAAAATGGAAGAAATGGAAAACGAAAATAAGGCACCCCGCGATGAGATGAAGGAGCATCAAGAAAGGGTCGATAACATACCAGGCGCCCCAAAGTTGTTACCGAAATGGGATGTTGGTCGATTCATCGAACAACCATACAATGAAGAAGAAGCCCCCCATGCCATTCCTAAAACCTTCAAAATGCCACCGTACCTGAAGATATACGATGGTGCTACATACCCAGAAGATCATATCGTTCACTACGTCACAATGGTAAAAGGCAAGATCTTTTGAGAGAATAAGTACCGTCAGTGCTATTAAAAAATTTTGGCGAAACCCTAACAGGGGGAGCCTAACCTGGTACTCACAACTGCCGGCACGGTCAATAGCAACGTTCGAAGAGATGGAAGACAAGTTTGTCACCGCTCATGCATGGGCTAAAAAGGAGGAAGCCAGGGTAAACGACATATTCGCCGTTAGGCAGACACCCGGCGAGGGACTCAGGGACTTCTTAGCCCGGTTTAACAGGATGAGAATGATCCTACCGAATGTATCAGAAGGGATGGCGGTAGTGGCCTTCCAGAATGGATTGAGTAGAAATGGGTCTAGAGCAACCAGAAAGCTAGTAAGCAAACTCATGAAATACCCTCCCACCACTTGGGAAGAAATTCACAATGCCTATTGCGCCGAGGTAAGAGCCGACGAGGACGAACTCAATGGCCCGATCCAACGGCTGACATTAGTTCAAGCAGAAGCAAGGAAGGATCGATGCAATGAAGGTCGAAGGGACCAGTTGGGCCCCCGTCTCGGTCGAGAGAGACATCAGCCCTACATCAGAACAACCATCCCACATCCCTCGTGGCACATGGATGGTCCTCCTCGACATACCACGACACCGCAAAACGAAAGAGGTATGCCTCCACTCCTATCTACTCACAATTTTTGTGTTTCTTCTTCAGAAATAGTGTACGCACTAGAGAATCTCGGCACAAAGGTACAATGGCTGCAAAAGATGAAGTCCGATCCAAGTACTCGGAAAACAAATGCCCTCTGCGAATTTCACCAGGAACGGGGTCATAAAATCGATGACTACATAGGGCTGCAGCAGGAGGTGGTGAGAATGCTAAATCAGGGACACTTGAGAGAACGGATGAGCGACCGAGGGCGAGCCAATTTTGCCAGTGGACGCGAGAAACCCCCTGGGACCTCTAAAACCGCCTTCTCCCGCTCGTACCATACAAATGATTGTCGGTGAAGGTGACGGGACGACAATCAACCATGTGAAATTCACCATTACACACAAACTCAAACGATCGATCACTCATGAATGGTATGATAACCTCGAAGATAGTATCATCTTCGATAAGTCAGATACCGACAGTTTGTCTTTCCCTCACTATGATGCTCTAGTTATTACTTTACGTGTTGCGGATACTGATGTGAAAAGAATAATGGTGGACGATGGAAGCGTCACGTGTATTATTCATCCTCAAGTCCTCATACAGATGAGGTTCGAAGATAAAATAATACCGCATTGCATAATACTAACAGGTTTAGTAATGCAGCCGAGCGAACTTCTGGAGAAATAGTGCTACCCGTTCTAGCCGGATGAGTCACCCTAGAAACAACATTTCACATCATGAACCAAGACACAGCCTATAATGCCATCATAGGGCGACCATGGATACATGCCATGCGAGCCATCCCGTCAAGTCTCTATCAAGTAATCAAGTTCCCTACTCCATAGGGAATATTCAGCATACGGGGCGAATAACGCACCGCACAAGAATGTTATCGCATTTCCCAGGATTACGCACACACCCAATGACTAAAGGGAGCAAATGCGGAGGCAGAGCAATTAACAACATCGGGAACCAAACCCGACGCACAAACATACGTTATCAAAGATCCTAACATTGTAGAGGCCGCAGAGTCGACCATAGAAGATCTCAACCCCGTCCAACTAGACAACAATGATAGCACAAAAAGGCCTATATCAGGCACAATCTCTCAAAACCAGGTATATTTCATAAATTCTTAACTAATAATGCAGACCTGTTTGCCTTCTCCCATTCAGATATGACGGGCATTCCGAAAGACATCGCTACACATAGGCTAAACGTCAACCCATTATATCCGCCGATGCGATAGATGAGGAGAAAGTTCAATGCCGCAATAAATGAGGTCGTCAGCGTTGAAGTCAATAAGCTACTCGTCAATGGTTCTATCCGAGAATCAAGATATCCCCAATGGTTTGTGAATGTGGTCATGGTAAAACAAAAGGGAAATGGAAGATGTGCATTGATTTCACGGACTTAAACTAGGCCTGCCCGAAAGACTCTTTTCCACTGCTCCATATCAACTAACTCATCGATGCAACAGTAGGGCACGAACTGCTAAGCTTTTTGGATGCGTACTCGGGTTACAACCAAATCCTCATGGAGGAGGAAGACCAGGAAAAATCCACTTTCATCATCCACCAGGGAACATACTGCTACAGATTCATGCCGTTTGGATTAAAAAATGCGAGAGAAACATACCAAAGGTTGTTCACCAAAATGTTTAAAGACCAACTCGGCAAGACAATGGAGGTTTACATCGATGACATGTTAGTCAAATCCTAAAGGAAAGAGGACCACATTGACCACCTTACAAAGGCCTTCAGCATATTAAGGCGGCATGGAATGAAGCTAAATCCCAAAAAATGCACCTTCGGTGTAACCTCAGGCAAATTCATCGATTTCTTGGTATCACAAAAAGGCATCGAGGTCAACCCAGACCAGATCAAATCCATCGAAGGAATACCTGAAATACTGACCAGCAAAAAATAGGTACAAAAACTGACGGGCCGGATAGCCGCCCTGTCGAATTTTATCTCGCGGTCGTCCGAAAGATGCCATAAGTTCTTTAACGTGATGAGGAAAGATAGCAGGGTCCAGTGGAATTCAGAACTGGGACCCAATCTGAGGTTCCCGAGCACACAGAGGACCTAGGGACCACCCATGATCTTATGCAGACAGACATGGCTTAGGGAGTCTTCTATATCCTTTTTCTCTATCTTTTTGGTGCTTATTTAGACTAGTTGGCATTGGGGACAATGCCAACTTTCATTTGATGGGGTAGGCCCTACTAATCATTTGATGGATGGCTGTATATATATTGATACATTTTTATGCTTTCTTGAATTTTTCATCTTTGGTCTGTATATAATTTAATATTTAGTTACATTTATTGCACTTTTATTTTACTTTGGGTCTGTATATAAAGTTATATCATATTGTATATATTCATCCCATCCGTTGTATATTCAAATCCCATCTTGTATATATTCATTCTATTTTCCGCACAAATTTTTCGTTTTTAGATTCTTATTTATGTTCGTAGCTTTTTGTTTTGTTTTGGACGTTTTTAATAAGCCTTTGGTTTTCTTAATGCCATAGTTCTTTCCAAAGGTGGAGTGTTGTGTGAACCGGGTGACTCTTCCGAATGATGGATAGCGTAACAACCTTCTTAAGGGTTTGAATCCTTTTTCCTTTTTGTTTTTAGTAGTTTGTAGTTAAGGATATCTCAAGCAAAGCTTCACTTGGGCCTAGCACATTTGCTTTTGATCTCATGATCAAAAACAAGTTGTTGTGTTTAGGATGGTGAAAGTCGTGACCTTGAGACTCTTGTGTTGACCAATAATCATCAAGTGGTTGTTCGGGTCCATTGTGTGCTCAAATCGTATCTAAGGTCATTGTGGGCCCCCGACTCTATGTCTTTAGCAATCCCTTAGCTTGTGTGGTGAGTAATTGAATTGCTAGTCCAAGTCCCCAGCCATTGGTCTAGAAGTTGCCCAGAATGTTTGTTAAGGCGAAATCCTAACTGAATTTTGACTTGAGACGTGATTATAGGCTCTCCTTGATCCAAATAAAAGTTTAAACAATTCCATATCCTACCAATGATATGATCCCTAGTTAACCCTTTTGAGCCTTAGGCCTTTTTCTTTCAAGAACCATGATACAAGCCTATACCCGTTCTAAAAGATACCCTCTCTTGGCACCCGATCTTTCCTTTAGTACATGACAAAAGCATAAGTTTGGGGGGAGAGACGAGGATGACAACAAAGTGGTAAAAAGGCACGAAAATGAAAAAAAGAAGAAGGGAAAGGCAATAAAAAAGAAAGAAAAGCAAAAAAACAAAAAGAATGTTCAAAGTGAAAAAGAATAAAAACGGATTCAAGAAAGGTGTGGAAAGTTGAGAAAGGAGAAAAAGGTTTGAAATGCATAAGATAGAGTGACAGTATGTCTCTCTAACCCCTTAGAAAGAAGTGAAATGACTCAAAGAGTCAAGAGAAAGTGTGCCAAATGAATCAAAAGAAGTGCTTAGGGGAATATGGAACCTACTTAGACCAAAACATGTCCTACCCTGAACCAAAAGCCTTCACAATATCTCCACAAAAGCCCTATATGATCTTGAGTTGAATGAAGCTTACATTAGTGGATACTCACATAAGGGGCAAGCATATGGTACTTAGAGCCGGACTTGTGACCTTTTCTTGAGAGAGATGAGTGAAATTCCATTAGCCTCGTTTTGCATGCCAATATTCTAAAGGTGAGGTTTGCTTAGGGAGAGTTGAGGATGTGTGAGTTTGGGTTCCACAATGACCAAAGTAATCGAGAGAGTTATTTGATGTGTTGAGTCAATTCTTGAAGCTTTTGTGTCGCGCTTGATCCATGGTTTTTCAAAGGTTAAATGTTGTTAATGACTCATTTGTATTGAGGGCAATTGTTAGTCCCAATTGATGCTAGTGAGGTTGCTTTAGGATAGCTGGAAATTTTCTTGGATTTTTCCTTAAGGGGTGGGTCTTATTTTGATTGCTTGAGGACAAGCAAAAGCTTAAGTTTGGGGGAGTTGATAAATAGGGATTTTGACGCATTTTATTCTCCTTCTTGCTTACTCTTTGATTATAAATTCATACAAAATAGTCCCAAAAGGCTCATAAGTTGTGCTTGATTGCAGGTTTGATCAATAAAGTGACAAGATGTCAAAGATCATCTCAAAAGGAGTGAAACTTGCACAAGTACCAAAGACAACACAAACTCTGGAAAAACAGGCCTAGTGCGGCCGCACTACACTTAGTGCGGTCCGCACTAGGGAGATTCAGAGAACTGGTACTTCAGGCATTAAGGCAATGCGGCTGCAGAAGGTTTTGTGCGGTCCGCACTGAAGGCAATGCGGCCGCACCACCATTCTGTGCGGTCTGCAGAGTCAAGATTCAAAGAGGGTGAAGTTGGAGCTTTCAAGCCTGTGCGGTCCGTGGTCCAATTTGTGCGGACCACAATAGAAGCCTCTGCGGCCGCAGTCCATTCTATGTGGTCCGTGGAGCCTGAGTTCAGAGAGCCAAGTTTTCAAGTTCAAGAGCCTAGTGCGGCCGCACACCATTTTGTGCGGTCCGCACTAACCCCGCAGGGGCATTTTTGTCCATTTTTTCTAGCTTAGTATAAATAGATCTTTTTTCATTTTTAGGGTATCAGACATTTTAGAATAGCTGTTGCGCTCGTGGGAACGTATCTTGTATCCATTTTGGGCATTTTTACTTACTTTTTATCATTGAATCTTTGTATTTAGCTTAGCAATTAATTAATATGTGTTCATCTTCATCTATTTCTCTGTTTTTCTCTTCAAGTATGAGTAGCTAGACCCATTAGCTAGGGTTGTGGCTCAACCCTAGTGTGGGTAATTGATGGGTGTTGCAATTTAGGGCTAGATTGACTATGGGTGTTTGCTATTTGGGTCAATTTCATGGTTTAATTACTGAATTAGTGGTTGCAAACACTAGTTTGTGCTAAGTTGACTTGGGCTCTTCTTGAGAAAGAGAGCCTAAGTCTCCGAAATTGATCCAACAAGGAATTGGGATGGACTCAAGAGAATTGATAGTCCCAATTAAAGGGTTAAACCTCGAGAGAGTAATACCCGACTTGAACCCTAGTTGCTTGAGCAAATATGCATACCCAATTGGTCTTGAGAAAGTCAATTGGGCAAAATTATTCTTTCTACCGAGAGGTGTGATAGTTGGTAATATCGAGCAACGGTTATAACATATTCCCCAATCATGTCAATCGTGTCTTAGATGCAATTACCCGTCAATTGGCCACCTAGGTGAAAGTTACTACCCTAGTACCTTTTAGAGTATTTGAACAACTTGTAGTATTTTACTCTTAGCTTAATCTAGTTGCAATTATAATTTGTAGTTTGATAATAGTAGAATTATAA